ATTCAGAATCAGAAAGATACGGTGATCAAGATGCCTGCTACGCAGAGTACACTGAAGAAAATCAGCGTGCGAGAAACAGAATACACAAATTAGCATGTATTTGTTGAGATATATGCTCGAAAGGATGCAGCTCGATTCTCGATATCCACACGGACGTAAACTACCGATCGATAAGAGAGATGCGATTAGTGCAAAACAACTAACATAAAACGCTGTTGATTGTCTTAGCGCCCAAACACATCATGATGTGCAGTTTACAGAAGTGACAAATATTTACCTTTTTATTTGACTTCCTTTTATTGAATATAGAAAGATACAATTTTCAGGAAGGGGGAAGCGACCAACCTAAGGGCTATCATTCAACACACAGTGGGGAAGTCAGGTGGTGATGGTGGGATTCGACTACATCCCCGGGGTGATAAATTGGTGACGTTACCATCGGACTACCACAGTCCAATCACCAGCCGGAGTGACAACATTCGTGGCCGAGATTCGACCCTCGAGTATGATTTGATAAGTCAAGTGAGGAAGTATTTTACGGAGTTTTCTGCTTGTTTAAGTGGACAGTAGTAGGTAAGAGAGACGGGCCCTTAGAGGTTGGCCATGATACTTTTCGTTATCGCTGGAGAATTGGCTTTGTTCACCACGTAATCTTTAGATTTACTTTGACAACAATCACTGTGATCTTGATGATAGCCTACAAGGCGGACAGTTCAATCTTCATACGAGTATCCATGGGAGGTCCATCGCCTCATCTTTATGCGCTTTTTCTCGTTTTGTGATAAATAGAACTAAGAGGAACACCAGAAATGCAGCTGACAAACCGAGAAAACATCGTGCTGGCTGGTAAGTTGCATTAGAGCACTGAAACACGATGACTATTGGTGTTCCCATCATTTTGTTCACAAGTATCTTCTCAATTCTCTCAAATTTATCGGACAACGGAATTCTAATTCACAACGGGGAGTACTCCGAAATTTCACGCACTGTACACAAAACACTTCTTGTATTACCGTGTAATATAAATCCTATTTACTCCGGCTCCATTGTGCGATTATCATTTCGAATTTTTACATCACTTTTGACTGTAAACCTGTTGATTTANCTGCCACATCTGTTTTCATTATTACCGGAGTTTCTACACATTCATGTCTCTCCGGGACATTGCTAGATTTAACACTTTTTCGTTACGGAACCATTTTTTTTCGTGCCTTCAAAATTGAGGACGACAGTGTGCCAATAAATGAGAATCCAGGTATGTTACAAGCTTTTCTGGATAGATTGAGTGTCACAGTATCCATCTTTGGTGAATTTTGCAAGTGTAAAATGTGGTTACAAGACTGGATTGATCCAGCACCCAACCTCACTCTGGCTGGGGAAATAATAGAAGTATATAAATTTTCTCATCTGCGCAACTATATCTCACCTGGCGGAAGCGTCACATATTAAGTGTCGGCACACATACAGAAGCCTCGGTTGGCGTTTACTAACCTGAAACATCTGTGGTATCGTCGCGACACTTGACTGTCTGTGAAGGATCGAGTATATGGTGCCGCAGTTAGGCCAGTTCTGCTGTACGGTGCAGAGACTTGGACATTACGCGAACAGGATGAAAAGAGATTGCGGGTGTTAGTACCGCTGTCTATGCCGCATTTCACGCGTCTCGTGGGGAGATCGCACAAGCAATGCTGAGGTTAGAGGTGAAGTTTTAGGTATTCGCGGTCGTCCACTGCAACAAGTGGTCGACCTCCATAGAGTGCGATGATTGGGGCATGTGTTGCGGAAGTCACCAAATAGGTCGCCATGGCACACAAGGCTTGCTGAGGCAGGCATTGAATGTAAAATGGTAAGGGTGGCCAAACTAAGACCTGGCAACATGGTATAAAAACCCCAACCAGAGACTGGATGGAGACCCCGAGATCACGCTAACCGGGGATTAGAGACACTGATTGATGTGGCTGAGTGTCGCAAACAGTGGCGCTCATGCATTTACTCATTATTCCTGCAACCCCAGTCAATATGCATTCTCTACCTTCTCTTTAACTCTGCTCTCAACATTGCAACCTTCATTCTGTCCCTTCATCCAAATGAGTAGCCAAAAGACAGCAACCAAACCCTCGTGCGTGGTTAATGGTTGTATAAACTGAAAACTCCATACTTAAAAGTCAACGAGGAGAATCCATCCAGGCCAGAGGACGTATTGCTATTGATATCACTTAGTTTCTGAGTAAGCTTCGCTTCAGAGAGAGTACTGATATCAACTGGCAATATTTACCCAGCCGAAGCAGGTATTGGGAAGTTTTGTGTCGACGAGGGATAGCTGAACTATGCTTTAAAATGTTCTGTCCATCGTTGCTGAATCATGTCGTTGGACTTCTTAATTACCTCACTGACGCCTATTTGCCATGAGCCAGTAATCCTGATTGGGCGGAAAACATTGCGACTGATGTTCGGATGATTAGACTGAGAGCCCGGTGGAGAATTCCAGTGGGTAGTTCACTGCAACACAGAGAAAGGGTCAAATGTAAACCACCTACAGGAGATCAAAGCGTATGCTGATTTGGGTGTAACAGTGAAACAACACTGCCAACTTTGAAACCAATCGTTAAATAATGCAGTAATACACAGTGATGGCAGACAGAGTAGACAGAATGGTACAAAAAAGAGCACCGCTGGCAGAGCATCCTTTAGAATAACACGAGTAGAACACCATATAGGCGAACTGGGACCTAGAAGCAGTCCAGATCAACTGACTCACTTGAACGACAACAGTTAGGAAACCGGCCGTGTGTACCAGTTCCGTTTGGGCCGCTGAGTCTTTGGCCATAACTTGCAAAGCCGCTAAACACAGCTCGAGCAATTCGTCCAGACGCACTCCCTCAATACAACCGGCCCAATCCACCGCATCCGGGTCGTTTCCGCTCTCCTCATCCAACCCGTCCAATGGAACTTTGTGCTCGCGGATGATCTCGTATGTTTGCTTGAGAGCACGAGCCAACAAACGAGTCACTCCACACAATCTGGAGCAGGAGGCACCGAAGGAAGCAGGTGGGGATTACAGATGAACCTTTGTTTGCACTCTCGCAAGAACGCCGTGCGCTGAGGAAGACTTACTTGAGAAACCACAATGGAATCAGATGACAAATAATCGAACGCCTGGCAAACTGTTGTCTTTCCTCGAGAACAGAGTGTCAGATCCGGAACAATAAGCAACCAAGTAAGAAAACGTTACGACAACTAGTTTTACCTTCATATTTTCTTTACACGAAAACTAGTATCACCTACGATGACCGAGATATCAACCAAAAGGATTCCTTTTAAATACAATGACTGTTGGGTTTCGTCTGGAGGTGAACCCATCGAGCCAACGGTGGATCGAAAACAATGATCCATTTTTCAGTGCAAAAAAATCAACAGAAATAAGTGAAAGCTTTTAGGGTGCACAAAGTCAAGCGATTTAACTCGCTTTCATCCGTACGTTCTGGTCCTTAGGAAAAGAGGTTCGAACCCTGCCACTGTCACCCAACTTTGATGGTAGGCAATTTCGATGTCGTTCGGCTCAATACCACGTTTAACTTAGTGGGGTCTTTTGTGGTTCACCAATTCAAGTCCTAGGGCTTGGGTAGCCAGTTTCCAGGAGTGAACAGCAGGTCTCCGTGACAGGAGTCTAGCCCTTTTGCAAAATTCCGCGATATACTGATAAACCACAATTTAATGAGCGATGAGCTTATGGCCATTTTTAGCATGGATACTGGATACTGTACAATGCTGCTACACCTTTGGGTGGACTCAACTCCCAAGTTCTCTCCAACCGAAGGGGGACAATAGAGGGAAAGTATATCAATTTTATTTTTACGCAACTGTAGTTCGCTTGGCATAAGAGTGGGTGGCGTTTGTGAATATGAAATATCCTGTTGCCGCTGGGGCGGAGGTAAAGGTCATTCACAATAGCAACCTGGTGGTCTTGAGTACGAATCCCGCCATCACCGTCAATTTTCCCCATTTCTGTATTTTTATTCAGACAGCCTTTGTATGGCCGCAGCTCGATTTCTGAAAGTTGATTGTACATCTACATACTCGATAAGTAATAAAGTAGTGATTTTCAGGAGACTTCGTCGTCCGTAAAGAGCCGAATGCATACTGGAGCACTCCGGATAGTGCCGCCGTGGCGCAGAGGCAACACTGTCACAGGTAGAGTATAAACACAGATAATAAACTTTCATCCACCGCCACCTACACTGCAATGCGCAAGTATATTGGGGCAATCGACACAAGTGACTTGCAGTTCTGTATTCCGAAGGCTCGGCACAGCTTTTCCGTCGCCCGGTTCTATACCACCTAGCGGGACCTTGTGTGGTTCGCCATTTCAAAACCCGAGGCTTACGGTGCCGGTTACCATCACTGAAAGCAGGTCTTCGTGACCATGGGGTCTGCCCATTTGCTGTTAAATCACACACTGATGTGCAATAAAATACTCACTCATTTTAGCTGCCACTGTGAAAGCCCAGAGAGAAGAGGCACGGGATAGAGAAGTACGTCTGTGATATGTGTACGTGCAGAGACAGATGTAGATAAAAAATCAAAAACTGATGTCGTTATGGTCCAAGTTAATATTAACACTAACTTGAGCAGCGTACGGGATTCTTCATCAGTAGCCAAATTGCGCACAAGTCCTACCACAGATTTGATGAGCGGCAACGCAGAAAGACCTTCACTGTCGGCCAAAATTGAGGCCAATGTGGGAAATGTGTTTTCCGTTCGAATCTAGCACAGAAAATTAAATAAGTTTCACGGTTTGAAGTGTGAAAACAAACTCTCACAAAGAGACAACGATTAAATCGAGAAAATACGGGAACAACATAATCGAAAGTAGCAGTACGCGTTAAGGAATACGCAATAACAATGCATACCTACCAAGAGATGAGCGTAGCTTCGAGCAAGGAAACCAATATGAGTGGGATTTGATTTCCAGTGCTCTTAATCACCGGTCAACGTAAATGGTAAACCATTACGAAACACGGAAAATGGGAATATTTGACAGAATTATTATGTACATCAAACAAAGGAAACAAGGAAATTTCGATCACTGGGATCGAAAGTTCACAAAGATCAGCAGCAACCTGATCAATTTGGCGTTAATCAACACAAGCAGCACGAAAGAGAGCGACGGGCGATACGTGTTCGAGTGGAGGACGAGGGATGTACGTGTACGATAGAGTCAATTAATGTTAAAACTTCTGCACACACACACACACACCATGGCCTTCGCACACTCAACTCGGTTTAAAAACGGATGTGATCGACATCCTAAGTTTGTACTTCGGCATGGAAACCGGAAAATGTGATGAGTCAGCGATTGACAGACTGCTGTAAGCTGCGGTTATGTAACACTCTGGTGACGGCGGCCCTGTGCACGCAGCACTCTCAATGACCGTCAATGAACAAATGCATCAACGTGGGTAACTTGTCCGGGGAAGCGTAATCTTCCCTTGAGAATTCTCAGTTTGAATTTTAAATGGATCCGCCGCCACCGCAAGAAGGCGATTGGCGTTTTCACAAGGGCCCTGAATACGTAGTCGTCAGAGCAACGATTGGAGAGCGGTAACCTGGTTTGTGCAATCTCTCTATCGCCATCCTCGTAACCCTGATTCCGGACAAATGGCCAGATCGTGATTAACCCCGCATATACGGCACGTTTCTCCCTTCCCCAATCCACTGACTGACATTAACAATGGCGTCTTGCACTGCTGACAACTATCTTTTGACTGGAACCCTTGGGGTATGCATCGAGAGACCAGGTTCGGTGATAGTTTGGTGAGTAACAACAAGTAACTACAAGCGATTGCCACCGATGGCACGATAGAAGAGATTTATTGATAGCGAGGAATCCTTAGGCAATGTTTTTCCTGACATGAATATCAGCCCACATAATGTAAAGAGGTGCGGTAGGACCAGATTTCCTGTGGCACGATATTGGAAGAGGAAAACAACTAGATGCCAGTCATAAACAGATGGGACCATCCAAAAAGCTTTCAAGGAAAGGTAAGCGCAGGTCGCTACGTTTAACCCCAAACTCAGTGGAATGCATCGAAAATGAAAACGATGTTCGTGTTGAACGTCTCCGTGCGAACGACACAAGGCACGCTTTAAACAGTCCCTTGGATAAAATACAAGAAAACGAGAAGGCACATAGCTCTAGCAACTTTACGACCAGAAAAACGTTGACTGTTGACTGAAATTCACTCAAATTGGAAAGACGAATGGAACGTTGTCAACTGTAGCAATGACACGAATCGTAACTTGGAGGGACTGGACACGTGGAATGGCATATTCTGTGGAAAGATCAGCGGCACTTCAGTAAGCCGATTAGCGATTGAAAACTGCGTGATGCTACGAGTTGTCTAATCAAGAAACGGCCCGAGCGAACATGCTATACTGTGTGGAGTGAAAGGTTTCCATGCATCTATTCGTACATTAGATCGCCATATTATGTTAGCAATGAATTCGAATGGTTAGACTGAAGGCACTTTCCGGAATGATATCACTGTAGTTAATAACTCGCATCAAGCGAAATGCTGGTTATGATTTCGCAGCAGCCCAGATATGAACCAAAGAGAAAAAAATTTAGGCTATTGTTACCCGAAAGGCGCACCAACATTCCAAAGTTTACACCAAAAAAACATGAATTAGAGATATTGTTGATTGAGGAGTGAAATAATATCTACACGGACATGATTCGCAATATTAGGCAGAGTGATAAAGTGGGTTCAATGGGTAAAGTGCATGGGAAGTGCAATACTTTTGAGGGGTTAAAATTTCGCTGTATCGAGATATCCTCGTTTTAACTGAAGATGATTTGATGAAATTTCATAATTTTGCTTTTCATACGGTTGCTCTGTTGATTACTGAAAACGGTGGTGAACGTGTGAAGATAACTGAAAAATGTAGGGAGGAGCAGCACTTTAGTCGGGAAGTATACAAAATAACAAATCACCTAATCGTGAGCCCGACAGCTGTAATACATACGATCAAGGTGGCCAGTATGCTCCACTGTCTAATCATGTCGGTGATCAGGATTTCTTGAGTACAGTTTATACGCTTACTCATTGTAGAGCCCCCGGCTATAGAACCTATCATTATGTTTAATTTCGCTCACTTAAGTGAAGGCGCGTTTGCCATGAAAATGGAATGAGTAAGAACCTCTCAGTAAAAACTAACAACGATGAACTTTGTGAGCCCGGTTCCTGTGGCAAGAAATGAGACTTAAAACCAACCCGGAGAGATCAGGGCTTTCTGAAGGTAGCTCGAAGAGAAATAATCTGGTCAGTGTCTGCACTTTTATTTCGGCTGTCATGGAGCGGAATAAATGAGGGCGATCCGATAATCGGTAGAGAGGATTCGAAAAACGGTGCAGTTTGGTTGTTAAAAGGATATCCTAATCATCCAGAATCCATACACTCTATCCATAAGGTCCGATGAACTGGACACTGACCCCAAAAAGACTGCGGTTTTCACACATCAACCCGCTGTCTTGCAGGTCAGCATTTGGCCAGCTGAAAGCTCCGGTTGTTAACTCCCTGAGAAGACTCACCCGTTTCGAAATGGGCAATGTAGCAGCACCATGCCCCCGAGCAAATCATGAATCTTTTTTCTTATAAAGCCCATTGTACCACGATGTGTTTGGCACACAGTCTGAACTCAGGTGTGTGTGTGTGTGTGTGGAAATATATAAACAAATAAATAATGCACTCGAAGCAGGTGAGATGATGCGCATGGGGGCACTGGATGTCATCTCCCGGGCAGATCACAATCGATCAAGAGAGATAAGACAGGAACACGAACATGGACAGGGTCCTCTCCTGAACCGAAGTGATCGTGATCAGAATAAACTAAACACAGAAGAGACATCAGCATGACCTATCCGGGATTGCTCCATGTAGATGGAATCCCCTTCACTCACCCAGATTAAGGTTGGGTTCACTAGCTAAGCGGTTGTGGACGATCAGCGGTGGTGCTCTATGACTGTGGGTTTTCTCTCGAGCAGCACTTTCCATCATTAAACACCATCGAAGTTTGTAGTCCGTATTGCAACTTGTTGATCGCTGATCGTCACTAAAGATCACTGCTCTTGTTGTGCTTCATCTACACATGATGTTCCTAAGAAGTGAATGAATTAGACAGTAGCACAGCTGCTCTGCAGGGTGCACTTAGATGGATAGAAACTAAAGTTGCGGTCTCCGACAAAAAACGCTGGATGAGGTACGGTTAACCAACCTCCTGCTCCGCACAGTACAGCTGAGTGGTAAAACAGCGCCGAACGGTGTCGAGGATGGCGCTCCTAGTTCTATCCCAATGAAACTCTAAGGATAATATCCATAAAATCAGCTTATCCTATAGCGGGACACCGACGAGTAAAAGTGTAAAGTGGTTTTTAAACGATCTGATGAAAGTACCACAAGCACAAAAAGATGCTTGCCACTTTCAGACTCCCCTGAAAGAAATCAGGGAATATCATTTCATTTATTATCTAAAACCAAGTGAAAAACTCATGAGACGTTTTAGGTAAAGGAAAAATTAAAACTTACCTCGTAGATGGCAGCTTGAGCATGCGGACTGCGATGTGTCACGTGACGCAGGGCGGAACAAATCGGTTCGGAGATTTCTTGACGTTGCGAGTTCAAATTCAACAACTGACACAATAATCGAACACCACCTTTGAACAAATACAAGCAAGCACAAGCGAGAATTTCAATTATTTGATGAGCGAAAACTGATAAGTATTTTGAACCAAACTGATATCTAACTGGACAGTGATTTCGTAACTTGATGAAACAGCTTGTTTGGCTCGAGCCCAGTGCCTCCAAAAACCTCAGTATGGTCGGGAGTGGTTGTCTACGGTTGCGGCTGATCACCCAACCCTTGCACATGGTGAAATGCTCTCTTACGACCGATCATCTCAAACAGTCTCTGCTAAGGAAGTCCTACTCACTGCCTCCTCGTGACGGAGGTGTTTTCCCACCAAAGTGAGACCATGAAAAGCCGACATCCGGGGCTAAAAACGGGTTCATGGACCATTGGTAGTTCCACCTAAGGGAGTTAGCCAAACCCCTGATTCCAAACCAACCATGAGGAGGCGTACGAACCACACACACCTTCCCGGTTTTGGAAGTGTTCACCAGCTCCATTGGGTATTGAGGTGTATTGGGCACCTTGGACGATTGATCCCGTCCAAAGGGCGCATGATCCAATGAACTGGACACTGGCCTCCAATGGATTGCGGTTTTCGCACATCACCCCTCTGCCTTGCGGGTCAGGCTTCGGCTGTGGATTCCTCAAGAAAATTCACTTGCCTTGGCCTGTACAACCTGGTAGTGTTCGGCCCACATGCAAATCATGTAACGTCTTTCTTTTTCGTAAAGATTATTGTACCGTGATTTGTTTGGCACACTCTGGATTCGGACGGGTGTGAAAATATAAATATAATATATTCGAGTCCAGTGCCCGACGCTCGGAAGAGATGCATATATTTTAAATTAATCGCATCTAAACAGATTTTTTAACAGAAGCAGAATCACACAGCTGAATCAATCAAAACTAGAAAGAAATTCCAGGCCTATTCAACTGAAACTTAGTAATTAAGATGTAGTTTGAACCCTACATGGAATGTGCGTGTGTGATGTTTCGTGAAACATCGTAGTACCTAAGCCGCTTTCTTTGACAGAATTTCCGCCGGGACTAAGGAACTTCGGTGGTAGACTTCGTGAAACACAAACTTCACTGTAGGACAAAAGGAACGGCTCGACCCTTTTCACTTTACTGTTTGGTAACGTCGAAGACCATTGACTGACTCAACGGTTCAAACCAGTCTGATGGTCAGATACCAAAAAGTATGGTAGATCTTGAGGCTGAGGTTCCAATGAATCGAGTCCAAAGTTGATACCAAACAGTGAGGCTGGATTTTCACCAACTGATCAAACGTCATTCCGGTGAACACAACGTGACAGCAGTCAAGTGACGTTAGTCACTATCAACCACAGCTTTGGTTGATGTGTTCGAATCCAACCACCACAGGGAAAATTTGCCACTTCTTTTTACACCATAGGAGCCATCTGACCTATTATTATTGACTGTAAATTCGCATCCGGTTAAAGGTATTATTATTATCATTACGAGTATTGCCAATCTGCATTTTAAGCTACAACTGATGACAAGTCAGCGATAAACTCAGCAGTACCTCCACTGCTGCAGTGGCTGGGTGGATGCGGACAATCTCACATAGTCAGATAATATATCTCGTCGAATAAGTGATTTGTCGTTGCCTTCTAAACTACCGAGAAATTTAATCGAAACTGAGGTTGAGTTTGAAAGCAAAGATTGGATAGAAATCAGGTCATGTGAATTTTCGTGAAATATAAGAACTGTTCAACTAGCCTGTCCACGTTGTTGTGATCACGCGGGCAGATCTGACAGTCATATGACGGATGCTGCGGTGTGTGGTGACAATAGCCAGGCAGGTCATACCATTGAACAGTGAGTGTTCACTCGTTCGTGAAAGCGTAAACAGTGTTACTTGATAGCACACAACACAATAGGTGTCCATCACCGGGAAATCGTCCCCACGTGATTTTTGTACAGCCGAACACCCCACGTGAAGTTACT